TCGCTTACGGCCACACCACCCTGAACACGCCCGATCTCGTCTGATCTCGGAAGCTAAGCAGGTTCGGGCCTGGTTAGTACTTGGATGGGAGACCGCCTGGGAATACCAGGTGCTGTAAGCTTTTGCTCTCTCGGCCAGCAGGGGTCGCCGTTGGTGCCGTAGGCTTTGGGAGGAAAAACCCTCGACTATGGACATTTATTTTCCGGGGTGCTCACGAAAAGACCAAACATTTCAATCTTCCCACTTTTGTTTCATTCAGCAACACTGACTGGCACATAGTATCACGACGGTCGTCCACTTTCAAGGCATGCCAGTTCAGAAAGAGAAGCTCCCTCACATCCCTTCAGATGCACAAGAAAAATGATCTATAGCCTGATCTCTAAAGATGTTTTTTCGGGCCTGTGTGATATCATATAAAAAAACGTTTGTAAAAATAATATTGAAGCTGCCTCTAAATCTGCAAATGAAGATCATTCAATAAACAACTTGTTTTTCATATATATACATATATTCATTTATTACCGATTTCATTCACTGAGCACAGATACAGAGGTACAGCCATTCACTATTTGACATTCCTGCACTGATACAGAACCCAACAATCAGAAAACTGGTGAACTGTCTTTAGCATTAGCATACAGTACCAAGACCCAGAGCCCAAGGGAAAACTCTCTTTACAGAAGACAAGTCTAAGCTCTGAGAATTGGGTTACACAGCAGAAGACCCAAATTACAGGCTCAGAGGTTTTGATACAGAGCCACTCCTGTTGTTAGCTAAGGGTCTGATTCTGCAAGTCTCGTAGAACGGATCTCATGTACATCAGAAGCTACCTTTTCTTAGCCATTGGCTGAATACATAATGTGACAGATAACAGACAAGTCCTAAACATGGAGGGTTGTAAGAGCTTACACTTTGTCCAACTTAAAGCAGGAGGCTTTTCCCAGAAGAAATAATGTAGCTGGGTTAAGGAAGATAATTTGAAAATGAGAATGTGGTTTAATTGGAGCTTATCCAATATAGTACTGAGGCTCCCATTAGAAATAAAGGGTAACCTTGATAATAATCCCAAATAATTCAAACTATAGCAAAAAAGACTCACTTTGAAAAGGGAATTAATGTCCAGAAGGAGTAGTGTAATTAGCTTGAAATACTTATAATTAAAAAAAATACAGAAATAGTGTCATCGACTCCTTTCAAATTGTGGTCCTATCGAAACCACGTAATTTGCTGCTTCGGGGTACATTGTTTTACTCTTACTTCATGCACTTCAAGTTGAGCATGAAACATTGATCTTCTGGTTGGATTAGCAATGTGTTGTATGCTGGTAAGAACTCAGTTTCAATGCTGGGTTATAATGACTCATGAAGAGCTTTTAGTGTTGGATTTTGTTCTTAATATATACAGTATTTCTATATATATATATTATGAAGTAGTTTTACAAGATATTCCAGTTACACTGCTGGTTTTGTACCTTGGAAAAACTAAGGACAGGAATTTTTTTAACAAGTGCAGAGCGAAAGGTAGTCAGGTTACATTGCACTACAAACTGACACACACACACACACACACACACACACACACACACACACACACGGGCAACAGACAGCTGAAAGATCACATTTGAAGTACCTTGTCACGAGGTGAACATTTAACGTGTATAACCACAAGATTGTTTTTTGTAGGGTTTGTGCTGCTGTAGCTGTGAAACCCTCATGCTGGGTAGAAGTCTCTACTACTAAGTTGAGGAGGCTTAGGGGGTGAGAGCCAGTTGAACCGCCTCTACAACAGCTACAGCCAAACAGAAAAGCTGAAGGTTTTCCATATGGCTGTGTCCCGAGAGGTCCAGTCAGCACAACAGAACCTGAGTGCGAGGGGATCATGAGAAGAGAAGATAAAATATAGGCCCATTAAAACATACAACAATGTTTGTTTTAGTGGGTGAATCATGCTGACATTAAAACAACATTAACAGCACTATGTGAACTTCTAGTTACCTGGTCTGAGGACAGATCCATTAACATTCCGCTGTGGCATTTATACCATGCTTCAAAAGGCAGAAAACAACATCTAGAAACAAAGTGATACAGAAATGAACAAAGGGGGAAATATTCAGAACATGTCTGAAGGATCATTAATTTCTACTTCTCACAGATTCTTTGTTTATTTTTATTATAGTTCATAGACTTCACCACTCCTTTTCAAGATGTGTCAGAGTATTTAGCAAGATTTCTTACCGCTTCTTTCCTGCTGTTGCTGCGAGGAAAAACCTGCATCGACAAAAGATCTGTTAAGATGGGACTGTTGCTGAAACGGGAAAAATTCTGGGTAATGAAACATATTTAGCTGCCGGGAAAGGAAGAATCCCCAGAATTAAATCTGATGCTCCTAAAATGGTCCTACATTTTGAAATTGTCTTTAAGAATTGAAAACAAAGCCAGTAATCTTCCCTTTTTCCCTCTTGAATTCATTCCTTGAGTCCTGGACTCTGCCTGTCTTTTCTCATTTCCATTCCAAATCAAATGTGTTAGTTCAGCTACATTTTAAAACTACTGAAAATAAAATGTTGTTAGTCAGTTTTGAAGTAATAGAACAAGATTAGATATTGTTATGAAAAATGGTGGCTTGAGTTAAATCAGGACAGTAGGATTTCAGAGTGTTGACGCAGTCTGCACGACAGATGTCTGCAGATCATTCATTAAGAAGTGATAAACATTGAAGTGTTTAGTAAGCTATAAGGGACTCGCGATTTTAAACTAAACTGAAATAAGGTTCTGCTCCTTGAATTTCTGAAACTATCTGCTGAGTGCAGAAAACAATTAAAAACCAACCAATTTGCTCAATAAGTGTAAATGACAAAGAGCTTGCTTGGATTGGAAACTGGAAGACGCAGAGGTACTAAGCTTGGGAAATAATACTATCTGACAGCCGTGAGGACATGGAGCAGTGGGACTTTGTTGATTGATTGATTGATTGATTGATTGATTGATTGATTGATTGATTGTCAGTGTGCTGTATTGATTAACTGGCTAGCTGACAGGGGAGAGGACATGGATTTTTTGGGGGTTATTTTTCCTTAGCTACTAGACACCATTGTCTTTTCAGTCCTAGTAGAATCTTACCATGAACCTCTCAGAACCAGTATCATTTAATAATAAATATTTCACAGATCTAAAATTATAAGGAGTCTTTCCTATTAATAATTACACTGTAGCTAAAAAAATTACCCGTTATTGACACGTGGTGGTCTAGAGGATGAATGCATTCTTCAAAACCATCCAAGGCCCTTTGTATCCAACAGAGGATATATTCTTGAAGAAAATGAGCAAGAATAGATTCTGAGTTAGCAGAACAAATGGGCAACAACTCACTTAAGATCTATTAAACATAGGGTATGTCTGTAAACACGGTGGGCATTAAAATGAGTACAATATTTTCTATGAAACTGATCACAATTGGCAGTAGAACTGAATAATTAAAATTATGGCACAAAAGAAATACTCTAAGATCAAATTAAGAAAATATAATAAATGTGATCCAAGAGTCAGATGATTCAGGATACATCACTATAATGAAAGTCTCATTGACAAATAAAAGTTCCTTTGAGATCTTTAATACGATCGAATATATTGAATTTCTAGTCAAAGTCTAATGCTTGAAGATTCAAGAGGATCATTTTACCAGTACTAATACACTATGTGGCCACTAAGGATGTTAATGAACAGATGTTTGGGTGGAGGTCAAATTCTAATCTAGCACTTCTATTGCCTGTGCAAAAAAGCTCACTGAGCACCATGCTGTACATTCTCTCTAGTACCCCTCCCTCCACCCTAGCATCACCCTCCCTGGATCGTACCTCATAAGCAAGGGGGGATGTGTCAACACTGATCTCTGGCCATCACGGTCATTTCCTCAGCCAGGAGAGTTAAAGCCAAAGTACTAAGTACTTCAGCTTGTTTTGTTCCAACAATTGTCTCCATGATGAACTTGAAAATTCCCTGTATTTTCTCAGTACGTTTCATTCCAAAGGATCCCACAGGGCTTCAAATGCACGAGGGGACTCACTTTTTTTCCCACCACAGAAGTGTAGCATCCAGCTAGGTAACATGCAGCAGTGATTACATGCCAGCTACCCAACTACTGCGATGATGTGATAAATTCGTTCACTGGTTGAATCAAGGAGGAACGTCAGATGTGAAGCCAAACATGGGGTTTAGCCATGAGACTTGAATCCAGTCAGAACCTCGTTCTGAAGGACGGTACCTCCTATAGCATGGTGATCCCTGTCACAGCACTGGGCTGCTGGACTAATAGCAGGTCATTTTTCAAATGAGATGTCAATCTGAGATCCTGAAGCACTTGGTCTTAATCCAATGTCCATGCTAAAGACTACTTTGAGCTTTTATGATCTGGCCTTTCTAAATTTTCCCCCATCATTCAAATGGTGAAGCACTTGCTTACTTAAGTAGCCGATCCAATGTGCAGTGGTGCCTGCTGCATGTCACCTAGGCAGATGCTGCACTAAACAGGTGAATGGCATTGTAACAATGTGCCACTGCAGGGACAAAGCCATTGCAAGAGGGGCTGACGATGTCCCTGTCATCTTGATTTACCCTGATGTGAATGAATTGAGTCCCCTTGTATGTTTATAGTGCTTTGGAATCCTTTGGGATGAATGGAGTTATGTAAATGTAAGGAATTATGATTGTCCTGTAAAGCCAGGCTAGCCATAGTTCCTTTGAATGTTAGTTGCAGAAAAGAGATGCTTAAATGTATTATCATTTTTCAAAGTCTAAATAGGATTTAGACTTCAGAGAGAATTGCCTCAATTATCATTAACAGTGGATTTAAATTTTCAATAAAAGTGGATTTGAATTAAACGCAAACGAGTGATTTATTAATGAAGTAACTTCACATTTAATTTGGGAATTAAATCCTTCCATGAATGATGTGTGACAAGTTTATAACAACTAATCACCCAACTGTTTTTTTGAACAGCAGAAGTCAGAAGTTTGAAAATATGTGAAAACTTCAACAAGAACATGTTGTAGTAGGTATGAAACCTCAGTTTTACACAATAGCGTGGCAAAAGTTGTGTGGCTTCTACATTTGTGCATGTAAACATATAATTTAATATGGTTTTTACCTGAGTCCTGAAACACGTCAAGCACCATGGGTTTGAGGAAGTCCATCGTTCTCTTAATAATCAAATCAAGTATGCATCCTGGAAAGATATTACACATAATGCCAATGAGTGTAATTACAATTTAGTGTTTCAAACATAAAAATTGACCTAGCATTTCTGGAAGTGCAAGGAAATCTTGTATGCACTCTCACTCACACAAAGAATGCATTGACTCAATTTCATGCACAAAAGAATCAATGAAACCTTCTTGGCATTACACAAACATCATCCTTATTTATCACAAAGCCACTGTGCTGGATAAGGATCTAACAGGGAGACAAAGCTGGAAACAGGGTAGACATCTACCCTTCGTGGGAGCTATGCCTTTGCCTATCAGGGCATGCACGCACACACGAGGACACAGACAAAATCTACAGACACCATTTAATGTAGCAAGAGTGCCTGGAGAAATCAAGAGGAAACCAGAGCACCTGGCAATACCCCCCCCACAAACACAGGAATAAAATACAACACAATAGTGCCACATGTACAGTAGCATGGAATGCCTCAGTAATAAAATGCAATGCACACTTCTGTGGCCAGAAAACTGCTTACCTGTAACCAAGTCAGTATTATCTGAGTCCTCCACTATGTCTGCTTCAAGCATACAGTCAGCCACTGCCTCTGTCAGCTGAGTAACCAGAAACTCTGTGGAAAATCATTCAATAGGCAGGAGGTCACAAAAACAAGAAAAGAGCAATCAATAAAGAGAAAAATGTACTACTTGCATGGCTTAAGATTCTTCCATTGCTTTTGAAGATTGTGGTTACAAATAAATGTATTTTAAAAAAAACAGTGTACAGTTGTGCTCTTTTCCTTTATCTGTGGATTTTCTATTCAAGCTTTTTTACATCATAATTCACTTGATTTTAACTGGATTATCATTGTATGTAACTCAACCATGGAAGAAGTTCAGATGTATCAAGATGGTAAATATTTCATCATTGGTTAGAATCCTGAAAGCATTGCTAATACTACACAGCAAGTTACAATTTCTATATCACAGATGATGTTTTAGGAGGTTGTGATAATACTGATAATATTTTGTTTTGTCTGGGAAAGTGGCTTTACTAAAGATTAAATGGAAAAGTAAGAAGGCATAAAGGGCTTTAGGGAATGTGTTACCTTTTATTTGGTATTCTTTGATAGCTAGTAAAATCCCGATGCCTAAAAAGAAAATCAAATGACATTGAAATTGCAGTAAGACACTATCCTTATATACCATACATGTATATAATACAAGATTGCAAAGGAACAAGTAAAGGTTTATTCCATGCTGAAAAGAGAAGAAAAGAAACACAACGTCTTCAGCATGGAATAAACCTTTACTTGTTCCTTTGCAAAAGGGCCTGACTTCAGCCCATAAAGACCTTATTACAGTAAATTCAGAACCAATTGGGAAAATGACTGGGAACGTTGCAGAAAAACACTTGCCACCCAGCTAGCAGCAGCCTTCTAGACAAGCTGGAGTTCATTCACTTTACTCTGAGACATGCAGTGCCAGCTAAAAGGAACCACTAAATCATGGATTCATTTATTTAAACTTGACATGCACTGACGCCTCTACAGCCTTCTTATAGGCAAAAGCTGCATTTATATGCAGTAGGAAAGAAAATGGTTGCAATTATCAGGATTATTCAGTGAAGTCATTCTTGATAAAACACATGTATGGTGTGCATATCGATTATATAAAAGTCAAAAGAGATCACCATCATCCTTTACATCCTCTGTTAACTCTGCTTTTATGCACTGCATGGCATTCTCTCTCCCCTCATTCCTGAAGCATTCTGCAAGAAATCAATGATGCTTTACTTGGAGAAAGTACAGGACAGAAGCATTAAAAACTCCAAAGCATTCTTCCCTGAGCAACAGGCTCCAGCACAGAGGACACAATTTTAAAAATCCAAATATTTTTATTCAGCGTATGATAGTGGTTCTTAATTTACAAAAACATGGATGCATTTATTCACTACTACATATATATTTAATTAAAAGAACATTTTTGATGTGCTTGATCTGCAAGGCCGTAATTCTGAATATTGATTCGTACCTTTATAAAATTCTGAATTCACTAGGTATTCAACTGCACAGTCCCAAAGGGTTTGTTTCCACTGAAGTTGTGTGCAAGCTACACAAAAAAAAACAAATGTGTTAATGTCCTCCTGGTTTCAGTTTAAATTAAATCCTTTATTCAAATAATGGGTGTTTCCTGATGGACACATTATAGAAATAATTTTAGACCGTTAAATTAACATACTTATGCTCAGTGTACACAATAATATTTTTATCGTATGCAAAATCATTGAGAATTGTAAATGAGTACAACAGTGGCTAACGCATAACAGATTAAATGCATAACTGGAATCAAATAATTTTACAGAATGATTTAAAAAGCTGAAAGCCAAAAAATCGTTTATTATATGAATTGTAACTCTTTGTATTTGACAATGTAGCATAAGATATCAGGAACCTTTCAAACAAAGCAGGTCACATTTAATAGCAGCAAGAACTACTGCTCTATGGCACAGATCTTTTCATTAAGTTGTTTGGTGTTTTTGTCTAGATTGACTCACGTTTGGACCTACATATTCACTTGGACAACTTCCTGGAGCAATCTGAGTAACATACCAGCGCTCAAAGTTATAACAGCAATGACACTTAAGATTTGAACCCATAACCTTCCCCTTGTGGGTGCAGAGCCCTACCAACTCCTTCACACTGCTTTCAGACTTACTCTCTACATCTAAGGTGATTCCCTGGTGTTTGTCATAGCAGTTTCCTGGAAATAAGATCAAGACAGAAATCACTGTGTGTTTTAAACCATTTAAGGAAAACATACAAAAACAACAACTTAGGCAACCTTCAGAAAGGATTTTGTTCCAGTAGCCCCAATTTAAAAGGCTAACAGTTTACCACTGGTCATGCTGAAGACTCCATACTGTGCTATTACTGTGCTAGTATTTCTATTACACATTCGAACAGCAATATTTCAGTACACCAAAGAGGCAGTGAGAAAGGATGTGTCATAGACAATGGGTTTCCCTTGGAACCTTAATCCACTAAAGTGTTAAACATTGATGTGTGATTTGAGAAATTTCTCAAGTAAATTTCGAAGTAAAAAATGGAACAGAAGACATAAATTGGACGAGAGGCAGATGTTCATACAAATTTAAATATTTATGTTTTATTATTAAAGTGGATTAAGACCGCTGTTGTTGTAGAACAGCTGGCACATAGTGGTATTAAGACAATTTTAGTAAATGGGCAGTAAGGTGAAAACCATCTGAGAGGATGTTGGAATGAGGGAGAGAGACTTTGATGAGCTTGAGAATAGAAAGAGCTCATCTACCCTGTGGACACAATAAATCTACCCTTTCGATCTCTTGCCTGTAACACAATGAGGCAATGGTACGTCCAGGTGTACCCTGCTTTGTGTGGACAGATGTGTGGTTTATATTTACATTAAAGATGTAAGTGGTAATAAGTTCTTAAAACTGAAGTTAGAATAATTTGTACAACTTTTCAAAGTCAGAGACAGTTGAAGAAAGGCCTGGTCTTGTCCGAGCAAATGGATTTCCCTTGGTACCTAGAGTATTGCACTGAGAGAGATGTGTGTGAGTTAGTAGTGTGACTGCTGTCTTCTGTTCGGGCTCTGACCCATGAACACTAGCAAACACTCAAAGACATCAAGGCGAGAGGCAACAGGAGACATACTGTACCTTAACAGCTCTGCATAGGTCTGATTGCAAAAAGGTGTATTTAAAAACAAAGTGCATGATGTAAGAAACATTGTAAGAATTATCAGGATATTCTGGCAACTTTCTAACCCTAATCTGGAAATAGTGCATAAATACTGCTGATCTACCATTTTCTAAATCATTACAGCCAGGAAAAGAGGAGTTAAAAAAAGCTTTACAGTTTCACCTGTCAGCAGTTCAGCACACTGGGCAGCATGCTCTGTTGCTTCATCCAGGAAACAGTCTGCAAGGAAAAAGGCAGAAACTCTGAGAGCCAAAAATAATTACAGATTAGCTACTGGGTCATTCAATATCTGAACTAGTGGCAGCAGTCCACTAGCCTGGATTACAGCAACAGTCCTACAGTTTTTGCTAGTTTCTATGAATCCATTGTGTGCTTGCTCAAAGCCTCAAACTGATTTATTCAATTTCACAAGGACTAACGTGCCAAGCATCCAAGCATCAGGGGGTTTGCAAATGTTTATTGAGTATTTAAATATACAGTAATAAGTCCTGGCTTAACCTGCTTGGTTAAGAGGCTGCCTCCTGGCCATAGGACGAGGAGGGTCAAACACCCATTTAGAGAGAGGGGGTAACCAAGGTATGTCTGAGTTATACATAGCAAGTCAGTAAGAACCATGATTTAAAATAGCTGGGAAATTGGCTGTCATTAACCCTCAGTGATACTTCCTTCTCACCTCTAAAGATGGTTTATTTATTATTATTTCTTTTATCTATAGAAGAGCTTTAAAACAAAGATGAAGGTTATTCATACCTTTAAAATGTTCACTGTCCTCCAGAATTTCATTTCCACACATCAGTATTGCAGTATGGAGCTTACGCTGCAGGCAGACTAAACAAGAATATTGAATTCATGTTTGTGTCAACGACATGTCGTCCTCAGAATAAAGAAACCTAAAATATTAGAATCACTTTTCTTCAGTAAATCTCTCTTGGGAGAAACATATGTAATAATATGTTTAAGCTTTATTATCGTATGCAACTTCAATAAATTCTTTATATTTTGTGGCAAAATAATTTTAGTGTCACAAGTATGCACCAGTGGAGAAAATAAGTACGTGGTTGATAACTGTGCATTCTTAAAAAACAAATGAGAAAGTCGCTGACGTATGCTTTCAAAAGTGTGGAGAAATATATCATCTCACATTGACCTTTATAAAAGCATCATTTAAGGAAACAAACTGTTGTTTTACATCATGGGGTTTAACGACTTACGTCCAAAGAAAATGCTGATTCCCAAACTTTCTGCAAAACAGGACCCTAGAAATAAGTACAAGTAGTAGAGTCACTGTGTGTTGTTTCATACCACTTTGGTAAAGCGCAGAGGGAAAATTACTCAGAAGAAGGTTATAGAAATGAATACCGTTCATCAGAATCCCCACATTTAACAGCAAAGACCTTAAAGTTTAAGATTATACCATATATCTCATTCACATCATCTCAACCCTAAGCAGCCCAAAGTCAGTGAAACAGGACAATGTGAATCTATGAGGTCTAAATAGAAATGAATATTCTTATGAATATCAGTAATGGCGCAAATCCGGGCCCATCATCCACTTGCACGGATTGAAAATGAACAATCACCCCCGTTCGGAAATGTTCTACTGCATGCGAAGTTCATACCTGGTTAGAATGTTTATTAATTTTGTAAGAATGTTTCTATTGTGAAATGTTGCTTTCGGAAATAAAGTATATTTTGATAGAAAAAAAATCCTTCAGTACTGCTCTATAACATTCAGGAGATCATGGGCATCTCTGTTTCTTTTAAGTGTGGAATTCATCACAATTTTAACAGTTATTTTGCGCAAAATGTTGTGCGCTGGGAGAATACATGTAAAATTTCACTTTCATCTTTATTTTTCCGCATCTCCAGGGGAAAAAAGCAACGTTGTCACACATCTGGATTTAGTGTCTTACATTTCTACTTGTTTTAGTTTGTGCTTGACTAATTACTTTTTTCAACAAGCAATACTCATTCGTCACGTTGATTATTGATTGATTATTTCATAAACAAAAATCAGCCCCCCGTCTTTCCGGTTTCTGTCATTTGTCTGGGACATATCCCCGCTTCAAGCACAAACTGTTTGGAAGGTAATTCGTGTTAGAAAAGGGCATGTCGGGGCAGAAACTCTCTCGTCTCTTCTTGAAGCGATTGTGCCTAGAAAGCCAGGAGATTTTTTCCCTGGAGCGTCCCGCTCCCTTTAGGGGAGTAACGGACCCCTCGACATTGTGTTGTTCTTCCCCACTGCACCCTCTAAAAAGCAGACCCCCGTTACAGCCCTTTTCTGTGCACTACTTCACGGGAACCTTTCTCTCAATCTTCACTCTCTCCCTGGTGAAAAGCACGCCTCTGCTCGTAAAGGGGCAACAAACCTTCTGCCTTGGCGAAACTGCAGACCTGTTTCCTGCCGCCGTCCTCTCCCCCCACCCCTCCCGAACAGGGTTTAAGACGATTCCCCGCATTTACTTTCAAATCGAGACTTGTTTTTTGTTTTCTTCCGTGTTACCAGCAGGGGCCCGCACGTGGTTATTCAGGGCCTTGTACAGGTTTAACTACTGCAGTGCTCAGGCGAAGGAGCAGCCCGGCCCCGGAGTCAGGGTGTGTGTGTGTGGCACCCGGCTCACTCCGCACAGGCTGCAACCTGCTTCACCATCAGACTTGCTGCCCGACAGGCACGGAAGAGCTGCACGAACATCTCTGCCCAGTTCTTATACCAGACAGGTGTACTTGAAAATGAGAGCAATTTACTCATTTTCAGGATTTGTACTTGACTACGTATTATATATGTGTTTACACAGGCTGATTGGAAAGTAGCATTAACTACATCAGTGCACTATATCTTACCAACAACACAGCAATGGAACTGGAAATTGCATCCAACTGAAGGGAAGCAAGGCATTCAAACACTGGAGTTATCAATTACTGTCACTAGGGGGCACTACTATGACACACTTGGTCACTGTACTTCTTACTGGCCCAGGATTAAATACATTCAAACAACACCGGATAAAGAACATCATGGCAAGAACGTGTAAAAAATATAAGAATAGCAACAAAGAGTTCAGCCTGTTCATCTGTGGAGATATTGAAAAGAGATAACCAAATCTTCTTTGTGGTTTCCATTTTCCTTATTTACTATATACTGTAGAGAAGAAGAGAACGGATATTGATTTACTACTCCTACCTTCTGAAAATGACTAACGGGAGAGAGAATGTAAAAGTCACCTTTGTCCTTTGACACTTCAGCAGTCTGCATCTTCACACACTGCACAGCGTGCTCCTTAACGCCATGAACAAAACGCCCTGCAAGAAGAAAGACACGTCTTTACAGGGAACATGGGGCAGGAACATTAACCGTCGAAAATAACTACACTTGTGAAACAATCAAACTTAGTAAAGCCAATAGCTGCGGGTTATTCAGCATCCAAATAAGGGGCTCTATACAGCGATGGTCCTGCGGTTTTTGTTGGTTTTAATGAATCATCTCCTGTTTCAGCTGATGAAAGAAAAGTTTGAGTAGAATGAAAATCAGAATACATTTACCCAAAAATTCTATATCGCCCTCCTCTGCGTTTTGGGATATACCTTCCAGAAGGGCACTTTTCAGCTGAAGTTGAAAGCAGGCTAAAAGGAATATCAAACTCCCATTAGTGTCATGGATATGTCCACTTCAGACCTAAAACAGATCGTATTTAAGCCTTGTTCTTTCTTTCTAAAACGTTTTTTGAATGAAACCCATAGATTCCGAAGGCTGTCTAATAAGTGTACTTATTCCAGGAGCTTTAAGACATCAAAATGTTTTAAAAACACACATAAACTGCACAATGAAATATAAAATACCTGAAGTAGCTGAAACACTCCTTAATTTAAAAGCAGAGTACAGTATTGTTTTGTGCTACTGTGGTTTTTAAAATACTTACTTTCAACATCAATTGTAATCCCCTGGAATTCATCAAAGCAATTCCCTAAAAATAAAAAGCAATCACAACCTAAAGTTTTCTGACATTCAGGTAAAGCATACAGGGACAACTACATTGACAAAGTTTAATTAACAGTCTATGGTCACTGCACTCTCAATTGCAAAGGAAAACTATATATCCCTGGTTATCCTGAAGAAGTTATTATTCAGAAAAACTATTTCATAATGACTTGACAGAAAATAAAACACACAAAAGATGAAAGAATCTCGTAAAGCTCCTTTTTTTCTTCAAAAAGAGGGTAAGTGAAGAGTGAAAAAAGCAAAGGAGCTGTAGCTATCAGACCTTTCATTTTCATTCATTTGAAAAAGTAAAACAATAGGTGCCTAATCACATCGTGCCTCTACAATATGTGTTTAATCAATATCAGTGAGTTATTTATATAAAAGCAGATATTCTTCAGTATTTCTCAAGGATATCATAACAAGCCTTCAAAACTCCTGGAAGAGATGGCCGTGTTAACAAATACACATGTATTAGACCTAATGACTAGTGAATAGCTTTGTTGGAGTTACGTCACAGATTGAGGTGCTTTTCCCCATTAATTGCAGCTTGATATTCATTTTAAACCTCAAACCTCACCCAACAGAGATGAATTTTCAACAAGGAGAAGCAGAAATAGAGATGAACTTTCAACTGCAACAAAAGTTTACAAAATAAAGCTCCACTGCTAAAACTGTTCTGGAAATAGAAAGACATTCTTCCATAAATACCAGACCTAAGTCCAGAACTCCAGCTCCTCCCAGAATCAGGACAGCTTCAAATCCTACTGCTCTCTTATCACAGCCTGAGCCTCTTCAATAATATTTGTAAACGTGTTTGTCAATTCTTATCGCTTTGGCAAGACTGTAATTTATCTGTTGTGGCAATAAAATTCTTTGAATCTGAATTTGAATTGACTGAGGAAGAGAAAGGACAGTGACAGAAAGAGCAAAGTGAAGGAAATGCACAAATCAGAGTTTGAGTCTGGGAAATGCTGGTTGGTGCTTTATTTTGCAAACTCCTTTGTTGCCTAACCATCACAGTAAACCCAGAATTAGCACCTGAGCCTTGGGTTACATCCAGTGCTTCTTGTGTGCATGAATGGCTTTGAGCTGAGATCCTGAGAGCTCTCACAATCGTTACGAGAGCACTTGTCAAGTACAAGTTTTTGTGAAACAATTTTTTCATAAATTATAGGAAACCCTGATTTTGAAAATATCTGAACTTTACATAATTCATCTGCGTGGTTTACACGGGTGCAAGGGTGCCGGTCCATGATTCCTTGGACAGGTCCAGGATTCGCGACGTAGCAGGGCACTAAGAGCAAAAATACTTACCGAGAAGCAAAACTAAGAAAATCACACCTCTCTCGAACATTTTTCCTTCCTCTAAAATACAAGGAGAAAGTGCTTTTAACATTGTCCTTAATTAATGGAGCACAAAACAAAGCTTTTGGAGGAGGATGAATCCTAATCTCCCCCACTTCAGGCTGCCATTGTCTTCATATCCTGCTTCTTGCTGACTCATTTGTGTTTTTTTTTTACCGTCCCTCACCTAAACCCCACTTTCTCCCTCGCAGCAGCTTCAGAACAATAAACAAGAGGTTGCTTCCTGAATAAAAGATTCCTTTTCGGTATTCATTTATACCTGTTTGGTGAATTGGTAACGCCAAGACTCCTTTCGCATTTTTCTCAGACAGAACTTAGCAGACGTTAACTATTCTTATTCTTTGGAAACATTTGCAAAATAAAACATTGGGAACATCATTTGTAAAAAAAACATAGCACCGACTTAGGTTCCTTTATTTTTAAAACCTTAAGTTCATCGCTTACTGTCGCGGTCGGCATCCCTCCCCTAGTGTGTACTGTTAATTGGCTAGCCTTTTAGACTTTATTGTTATCTGGTGTGTCTTGTTTTCGTACTGTTATTTAAACGCTGAGCCTCGGGTGTCTCGGGAGCATAGCGCTGGCAAGTCCGCAGGTTTAACGTGTCTGTGTTCTGCTTCTCTCCCTCCTGGGATTTGATTCTGTGTTTGTCCAGGACGGATTACCTGGCTTTTCGGGTCTTGGGCTACCTGTGTGGACTCGGCTGCTTTCCCCTGCGCACCGGATCGTAAGATGTAGCAGCCCAATGCCTTCACAATAAACCTGTGTGGGGTCCTGTTTCCGGGGTCTAAACACCCCCCACTCCCACGGGAGAGCGACTCGGCTCTCGTAACACTTACTCAAAAATCGGTCAAATAAAAAATGAACAGTACCTTTGAGATCAGACAAGTTGTGAAGACAAGTTGATGGAAGTCTCAACTAAAGCTCATTTGTTCTCTACCTACTGGTGTTCACTTATTTTCACTTTCATTTTCTCCTTACGGTTGAATTCCCGTAAATTACCTCCTACTGTATCCGCTGTATTGGAGTTTCATCACTGGGAATCTCATCACTAAACTGGTTGCTAACCACGGGAAAACTTCCTCAAAGAAAGTTTGAAGTGCCAGGACAACATTTAACAAACACTTCTTGGAAGCTTCTGTGACACCGAACAATGACTACGTCCACGTTTGCCGTAATGTCCTTGGTACTGTTTTCTGGTAGGCTCGGTGTTTTTATGTATTTAAAGCAGAATTTTCTTTTGGTTAGCTTGTATAGCATTTTGAATACCTTTCATAGGTTAGGACGAATCATGGAACCATGTTTAAATTAAAATGCTTTTAAGAAAAAAAGTGAACATAAAACATGTTAAAGGCATTTGTCATTATATATTTATCTTTTTTCATTTATAAAAAGGATCTTTCTGTTATAGTTTGCTGGTCACTCTATCTAATGATTGTTAGTATTCTCGGTAAATGAAAGTTTTCAATTCCATTTGAAAAATTTATTTTTCATTTATACTTCCTGGCTGAAGAGATAGTCAATTCACAGTGCACAATTCCAAGAAAGTCGTGTTTGAAAGATGTTACAAAGTGTTCATTAATAGTGTTAATAGTTATAGGTAATAGTGTTAATAGTGTAACATTGGATAACATTGTCTTATATCTAGCTTTAGCTAAAAGCATGTCTGGACCTGAGACCAATATTTTTATTGTTTAAGTAAAGTTCCAGTCTGGGCACAAGGCTAAGAAAAGGTGTACCTGTATCTAGGGAATAAGAAAAAAAAGGTGACAGGGGTTTGTGTTTTTCATTTCTCAAAGCTTCCTAAAATCTTATCAAGTAAGATCTCATCTCTCTCTATAAATAGAAAATACAATAACATAATCACTGCTCTTCAGTATAATAAAGAGAAACCAAATAACTCCAATCAGTATTATCCATATTGTGTGGTGTTAGTGGTAAGAACAGTTGTGTTTAAGGATAAGGCATTGAAACAGAAATAAAGGAAAGGACACTTTTTTTGTGATAAATGGAGCTCCTGTTATCAAATGTGTTAACATGGTGCTAAGATGCATTCATTTTTTTTACAGGTATCCTGACTGGGCAATGCAGTAGTACAATACCAGTGAAAGAAATTATAGGTAATTATTGATCGGATTTTAGACTGTTACCCTTATCTAAAGATGACCTAACCGAAATAAAGAACAATTCTTCCTCCTCCAAAGACCGTATGTGCAGGACGGAAAACCGGATTGCTCGTCACAGGACAGCTCTCACGGCTGCCTGGGTGCGGAGTCCCCCTGGGATTTTCCTGTCACTCATCTCCTGCCTTGTTCCAGTTGTGCACCGCTGTGCACAATAATGCCAGTCGTTCTCCTGCACCATATTAGTTCAACACCCTGCACTCCCCCGTGACTAAGGCTGCTGTTTATGCTGACATGTTGTGGCTTATTTAGCACTTCTCAGCGCCATGGCAACGGCGTTGCTGGCGCGTCCCACACCAGGGCGTGAATCCACACCAGCGCCTTCCACTGCCCCACCGCCCTCCCAGCTGCTGCCCTCTAGCTGCTTTACTTGGCTCCTGTCGGTCTTGGAATCGGATCGGCCAGGTTTGGGCCCCGCCTCAGAGGACGTTTTTGGGATTATATAATTTGAGTTTTATAAATCGCCACCAGTTCACTTTTAACCTCCTGCAGCGATCGCCCATGAGGGCAGAAGGCAGGGCAGGAGAGAGCAAAGCTTCTGCTAGCAGTGCAGGAGGTACAGAGGGAAGGAAAGGAAACCTCCCTCGTCATATATAAAGGGTGTAAAGGTCATAGGTGGAAGGTCAAAGAGTCCAACGCTGGGGGCGGAATGATAACGTCCCTTAAATTCTGTAGATTTAGCTATTTATCCTAACATTCTGCTTGCTTTTTCTACTCTATCCCCACATTGACTAGATGGTATACTGTAAATGATGTGCCAATATAAATACCTAACTCTTTTTCATGGATAACTTCTTCAAGCTTCATGTTTCCCAGCTTGTATTTATATGTCATATTTTTGCCAGGTGCATGTAGACCTCTGCAGATACTAACATTAAAGGCCATCTGCCAGGTGTTTGATCAGTCCTGATTTTTGTCCATTAATTAGTTCTCAGTCCACATACAGTACTTTGAATGCTTACCGCCTGCAGTTTAAGTATTAGACCTAACAATTTAGAAGTACTTGCATCCAACCTTTCCTATTTTTCAATATATACAGTATGCTCTGTTTGTAACTCCTACTACTCTTGCTTGTTGAACTAATTCTTAGCAAGATAGTTAAGCAAGGCCTACCTTTCCTAAATCCATGTTTATCCACTCGTCTGGTCTGACGTGATCCCCTGGGACAATCTGGCTGCAGACTGAAACTCAAGACAGTTGTAAGAGAACCAGCTTTACACATGAAGTGCATCTTATCTTGCAGCTTGCATGAAAAAAGAATGCAGTGAAGCCTCAAGACACTGTGGTCTGAATCATGGTAAGGAAGGCTACAGTCGAACTAGCAGTTTTGAGTAAAAATGTAACCCACTGAGATCTTTGTGTAATGAATAAAATAACACTACTGATTTCTTCTGAACCAAAGGCTGAACATGCTATGAACACATTAATTACATGCTATTTAAAGTACATCCGTAAAAAAATCATTTGTAGCCTTTTTTAATCTTAATGCTACTGTATAACCTATAATAATATGTAAAATATATTATGGATTATATAATAATGTACAGTATAACCTTGAACTCCTCCTTTCTCCCTGCCAGGTGTATTACAGGATTAATAGCTGATATAAGTTTGGACTGGCATGATACCCTATATTAAATAAACAAACGTATTTTATTTTTTTCAGAATGCTATACAGAAGAATGCAATGATGGGATTAAAGTTTGTTTAATGTATGGATTTAATTTACTTTATGAAAATTCCAGTAAGTGAATTTACATTATTTTATTCTCACATTTCAGCATCGGCTTAGCACAAAATTAAAGAGTACCTCATGGCAAAAACTGCCTTTTAATATATTGCTTTTTTTTACTTGGCTATTCTCTTGTCAGTTCTGGGATGTTTTCAGGCTGAATATTAATCTGATCAGTAATCAGGCGAATGTGTACTACTGCGTGTTCCCTAAGGAAGACACTGATGTTGTGGCTCTGTTCTGAGCAGTCCTTGTACAGCAGAGATGGAAATGTAAGACACACGGAATAAATAAATAAACGGAATAAATCAACAGGATCTGAAGTTTTTTTCTCCGTTGATCTCCCAGATGGATTAGGTGGGCTAAATGGCATGTCCTCATTTGTAACTATTTTTATGTTCCAAAACAAACAAGCATGAAATATGAACTCGGATCTTTCAAGAGTCAAAACAGCAGCTGTACCCAGTAAGGGAAGAACTGCAAAAAGTGCCCAACAGCATACATAACAGGGACAAAGCAAAGCCAGGGAACTACAGACCCATCAATCATAACCCCTGTCATACATAAAGATATGTAGAATGAAAAGAATCTGGGGTGTAGAAAAGGCAGATCCTGTTGAACTCATTTGTTAGGTTACATTGCAACAACAGTGGCAGATGCGCACAGAATTTAAGAAGGCATAACGTGTTATTCCTGAAACTGAGAAATGTCGGTGTCAAAGGGAGTGTAAACACGTTGAGAAGTGGTCAAACCACAGAAAACCGCAGCACTATGGGTAGCTGTGTAATTAGAGAAGCACCAAAGAGAAAGAGGAGGCACATCTTTATACAAAGGGTTGTAGGAGTCTGGAAGAACATTCCCAGCCAATTTGTTGAAATTTATATCCTGGCTTCTTTAATTAAAACAGCTGGATGAGATCCTGGGAGCAACTAGCTACTAACTACCAAACAGGCTAAATTACCTATATTGCCTCATCTCTTTTGTAACTGTCCTTATGTTCTTAGAGATCTGTATTAGGTCTGCTGCTCTCTTCACTTTATAGGAATGACTTTGATTTTGGAATAGTTAATAGACTTTGGCACCAGGTCTTTGGATGGCAAACTATAAAAGGCATAAAGGAAAAAAAATCACTCAGACTCTATTCATGACTGGATAGACACCTGGAAAATTAACTATAAAGAAACAATCAGGTAAAAAAAACGTATTCTGTACATATCAGATGGGTCATTGAAGTAGGGGAGTTCACTTACAGGTATAAAAGAAGCTAGGAATTATGTTCTTCTCTTTCCACTGGGTAGAAGTGAAAAAAAGACAACAAAAGGGCTATGTTTCAGAGGGAAAAGTAATATTAAGATTATACAAAGCACTATTTACTCCTCACTTCATAAACATGCTCTGTACCCTGTACCCCAGTGGAAAAAGGATTTTTCCAACTTGGAAAGATGTGTCATATATGGAGAGGTCAAAGAAACCGATTCTCCAGTCTCGAGAGGTGGATATTACAAGGGGATTCTTGATTCAGGCCAATCAAACTGCTTTTTTCATGCTCGGCTGCAACACAAGCTGCTGTGGAGACGACTGGAAGTGAACTGAGGAAAGGACACTCTCTTTAAGCAAAGTCTGGTGTGTGTCTGAATCCAGGTGCCCGTCCTGCAGGTGAAAACGCCAAGACATGACTGAGTGAGCTCCTCAGGTTAATAACATGCTTTAGTAACTTGAACAGTGTGTATGTTTTGTTCTCTGCCTTGCAGTTCTTTATACAACATACTTGCCATATAGAACATTGTTAGTTATGCTAGCAGCAGCAGAAACAAGAATAGTTCTAGTATTGGCACTTGTACCAGTTTGTTGATCTTTGTTTTGCTTTGAAGGTTACCACAGGAAGAAGGACTTCTCTGTGTACGGTAAAGTCTGATCTTTTGAACTAAATTGTTTTATTATAGTTTTTACAAATGAAGCAGAAGGAATCCAAACGAGCCATTTTAATGTGGAAAGACAATCCGCACCAAACCTGTGCAACAGAAACCAGGAGCCAATAAACTGCTGTGGTTTTTAACACGTTAGAGCATTAATGTCTAACCTGGTAGCTAAGGATCACCTTTTCCCAGAAAAGCCACCAGGCAATTGAACAGAATCTGCAGAACACACAGCAGGAGGGTCAGTGGACTGGGCCTGGGCCTCACAGTTTTTATCAGTAAAATCTGGAAGAGTGTCACTTAACAGCTCAGGCCTATCTTCCTAAAACCATATCTCTTGATTAATACTCAGAGACACCTACCACATGACCTACTTTCACTCTGTTGAGATGATGTTTTCCATTGTTTTCATTGTGATGTCATCACACATCAAAGCACTTTGAGAGGAGTGTCCAGAAAAGATCCGCATAAGTCTAAGGAATTAGAATAATGACATCATATGCGTGATGCCCGGGCCTTGCATACCAAGCCAGACAAACGCTCTTGACCAGCATTCATGTGTGAGAAATGCTTGTATAGGAAGAAAGGAGCTGCATCCCAGCTATTACACTGAATCCCATTTTGATCTTAATCTCATGAAATTCAGAGTAAAATATTGTCTTCATTTTACACTACACACCATTGGTTTCAGTCAGGTACACCAAATACACCTTAGTACCAGGATGTGTACGGGTATCTCTTTATATAAAAGGCCAAACCATTGAACCTATCCACTCTTTCACAGATCTGGTAGAATGTGCAATTGATCAGTGCCTTGATGGAGTTAAGGACGCTTCAAAACGTCTGAAGACAAATTCTATGCAGAATAAATCAGGTAAGGTTTTTTTCTTTTTTATCTTGAAACACTTATTATTGCTAATTATTTTGAGGCTTGATTATGTTGGGGTTTTTTTTCTTTTTAGGTGCTGCTGAGTCTTTCTATTCCTGCCTTAGATCCGTGAGAGAATGTGTTTATGCTCAAAACATAAAGGATGAGCTGTGAAAGGTACTGACGGCATTACAGCTTTGTCATTTTAACTCTTTGTAATTTGTAATTCTACGTTTTGATTCATTTCTTCTCTTATTTTAGAAAGAAATAATATGAGAAGTAGCTATTTTTTTTCTTACTTTTACGTCCTTTAATTAAACACGTTCGACCGCTACGGTATATACTGTATCGAATATTGTGCTATTTCATTGTTCTATGGTTTCCACAGGAATGAACGAAGTGAATCTTCTCAGGGTGGAGAAAGCCACACCGGGCTTCACAGGGAGACGACTCATTATTTTAGACTCTTAACTGTTACTGTCATACTCAGGTGTGCATTCTCATTTCACTTTATAATTTTAATAATTTATTGTTTCCTCTGAAGAGCATTCTGTTATTTGCTCCTTGTCTCTGACACAGGTGATTGCCAGTCTTAAACTATAATGGGATAGTTGGGAGAAATTCAGAAGCATGTACAATACTGTGTCATTTAAAAAGGTACTGATAATAATTACATGGGGTTTGGGTTTGAAGTATATTATTGCATTACATTACTACAGTTTGTTACTGTACTTATGTTCTGAAATAAGACATTGTGGGTGTTTTACTTAGCTGAAAAGTGCTGCAAAATAGTTCCCTGTTTTCCTTCTCAAAGCTAACACTATGTTATGTGCTGATGAACTGTTTTGTGAAAGTTTGTGATTTTATTTTACTGCGTTCAAAAATAAAAAGGAGTTATTAAATAACACAGACCTGGATGTATCTCCAGCACTGCCCCTGTTTCACCTCTGGGTCTCAGTGCCAGCAGGAATAGTAAACTGCCTCAGGCTTCTTGTGCTGTGAGCTCTTGACTACAGTATCTCACACTTTTCACTGAATTGAAGTGTCTGCTCTTGATGAAGGCAGAAACCTTCAGGCCTGTTTGTTTTTCTTTTTGTGATGTCAGTTAAATTCAGACAAATGCCCGGTTGACTCTATTGAGAGAAAAAAGTTTTGATTGACAAAACCCTGACAGGCTTGTCAGGTTCCGTATTAAAGCTTCTTAAAGAAAAAGACAGTGAAGGTGGGAAATTAATTTTTCACCAGTTTAAAAATTTAAATGGGGGGGGTGAAACACATTGTTTCTACAATATCAACAGGTTAACTTCATATGTCCCCAATGGTGAATAAGCAAATGAGGACACCTGGGCGTTTAACTGAATGTAAGGAAGAATTACATATGTTACTTTACTCCAGTCACTCTGTAAGACAACTCCAGCAGGAAGTCTGTGTATTTGTGTCACAGTCCAATGGCCCACACAGGAAAATCCTCAGAGACCAAAAATACCAGTTACACTTTTTGCTTTATAAAATGCAAAATTGACAATGGTGACATTTTCTGTTCATATTGTTTTTCATCTTTGTCTAAGGCTGTGGTTAATGTCTAAATTGGATTAGACAGAAAGCTATTAGTTGGGATGACCATATTTTGGTTTTCAAAAAAGAGGATGGGGGGGATAATTGACACATGCCTCCAAAGTAATGAATCTTTATAACTTTTTCTAATAAAAAAAAACAATTTAAACTCTCTAGTTTTTTTATTAAACTTCTTAGTAAACTTTTAAACAGTTGCAAGGTTGCTATATCTGTTCCATAATGGCAAACGAGGAAAAAACAAAAATATAGCCCATTTTAAACTTCGTTTTTTTTGTTTCATTTTAACACAACAAAAGTCTTAACATCTGAGGAAAAAAATGAAGACGTCATAACTTAGGAGAAGTCCTCATTGGTTGCAAAAATGACCAATTTTAACGAAACATTAAATATAATGAAACAAGTTAAACAGTGTTATTTCTCACGGCCATAAAAACAGCCACACACACACAAAAAAAACCTTTTCAAGCTACGCTGCGTGTAAGTTTAAAACATCTACCGGTAGTGCATGGAACAAACGAAAATGTGTAGGCCTATGTTTGTTTACACAGTCTGAGTAACGAGCAAAACAAAAATCCCGGACAATTTTTGGTATTTTATAAATCCCGATCAGACCGATATCTTTTAGGTTTGAAAAAGAGGACGTTTGGTCATTACGTATTAGTCAATGTAGCTGACAAAATCGCTGGCTGTTCTCCATAGATATAGTGCCCTATTTAATATCCTTATTTAGTATTAGTAGAATTGAATTGAAATTGAATTTAGTGCTCGTGCAAGTGACCGGGGGCAGAGCGCGAACGCGGTCCCCCGCCCCCCACAAAGTGCGCGCTCCGGGTTCCCTCTCGGGGCCCTGCAACACAGCGGAAGGGCAGCGAGAAGGAGCCTCTTGCTCTGACGCCGCAAGGCCACAAGAGGGCGGAGGCGCCGCGCGCTTGATGTGCTGAAATAAACACGCGACAGCCCCGAAATGTTTGCAGTGTGCTGTGCACCGGAGGTTTTTGTCTGGTGAAGACTTGCCTGGTGCTCCTCCGTGCAGTTTCTTTGTCCTGCTCCAGTGCGGGGCAAGAGCAGGGCCAGGCAACTGAAGGGAGCACGGGAGCACAGTCGCACAGTCGCCAACATCCAGGCACGCAATGCGATTTGGAAAGCAGCTCCTTTCCAAAGAGTTGCACACGAACGATCCTTGAGTCCCGCCCGGGGGGCACGGAGCCCCCGCCACACACAGCTTCAAGTAGCGAGTCAGGCGCCGTTGCTTTCGCTTACGGCCACACCACCCTGAACACGCCCGATCTCGTCTGATCTCGGAAGCTAAGCAGGGTCGGGCCTGGTTAGTACTTGGATGGGAGACCGCCTGGGAATACCAGGTGCTGTAAGCTTTTGCTCTCTCGGCCAGCAGGGGTCGCCTATTATATACAGTGTATATATATGGTAGTTTATACAGTGTAATGCGTACGTGGTGTGAACTACTTTAATCACCATGTTTGTTGAACAAAAATACAAAACTTTAAAACAAATTATCTTTAATCATCAAAATTTTAAAATAAAAAAACATTCAAAAAAGTTACATTAAAACACATTATACAGTGAATTACATTATTTACAAAAATACATTACATTCATATATACGTTTGCTACATAATTTTACAATTAATTTTGCAATTCCTATCCTTAATCACACACAAAACACTGTTCAACCCTCCAAGTGCTCTTGAAAAATTTCCTACTTGTGAGTTAATTTATGAAGAGTACATTCAACACGGAGTCCTGATGAAATAATCGATAACTTTAAAAATTACTACAACATCACTAGTAAAAGTTTATTTTTTCCTATTCTTATGACCACTTTTGCCAGACCAAACAGGAAATCTGTTTTATTCTTGCAATATTTCACCCCGAAGATAAATACAGTTTCATTGACTAGAACGCCCAACCCGGAGAAAATGTCACGGGACAGAGAAGCTCGAAAGACAGGGCAGCCAGTTCCTGACAGAGCCGTCAATGTACACCGGATTGCCTGACTTGCTGGTGTGATCGTAGCGGTTCCGTCCCCCAACACCTGGGGCGCGAACCCGGGTCCCTGCTACGCGCAGTGAGGGCACTGACGTCACCGTATCCGAACGAGCTCGGCTACACTGGGTGAATTGAGAAAGTGAGGACATTGCTCGTGGCGGAGAGGGCCTGTTGGTGTTTGTGAAGGGCATTATGTCCATGAGAATGCCTTGTTTGTGATAGCACTGTACTGTCAACACTGATGGGGGTCTAAACCTTAATCCCATGGAACACCTTGGGAACTGCAGGGGGGAATCATATGACTGGCAACACCAGCACCCTCAAACATTGTGTTCCACAGCTGCTTCTGCCCAGCTGTTCGTCGAAGGGCCAGCGGGTACTCGACCCCAACTCCCAACAGGTCCTCAAAGCACTACACAGTGTCCAACGTCTTGGCTTTACAGCTAACTCCAGGTCTCTGTTTGTTCAAGTCGGGGAGAACTGTTAGTTGATGGAATGGATCTGTCGCATTCCCAGAAAGCTGGACATTAGCCGATGCATTCTGTGATTTGTGCTTGATTCCCTGTACCATGTCTACTGTATATGCTGTCAGTTGTTACCTTCTGTAGATAAATATATTTTGATTATAGAGTCTCATCTGAAGGACATTACCTCTTTACAGTAGAGTATCCTCATCACTGTACTGGGGCATTAGAACCCACACAGACTGCAGGGTGAGCACCCCCTCCTGGCCCCACTAACACCTCTTCCAGCAGCAACCTTAGCTTGCTGGAATGGTCTAAGAACATCGAGGCCATCTATAAGAAGGGACAGAGCCGACTTTACTTCTTGAGGAGGCTCAGGTCCTTTAATGTATGTAGTAAGATACTTCATATGTTCTATCAGTCGGTGGTAGC